TGGAGGAACACTTATAAAATTAAACTGATTTTCACCAGAAAAACAAAAACAATTGTAAATTGATAGGGGAGTGGATAAACTTTTTTTGCATACTGTACTTATAACCCAGCACGTCGTGATTTTAAGGTACCACCCTCTTTATTATATGGGATATTATTACTGCCAAGCAGGGTTCTGCATTGCTTAAACAAAGAAAAGAAAATGAACTTTCCGCAGAATCTTTTCATTTGGAGCATTGTCGTTATCGTGTAAGTCAATATATTTATTGTTATCGAGTTGCGATGAACATTTCTCCTGTCAAACATGACTTGGCTATCGGTTGTTTCGTTCGTCAAGTTCATCAGTTCATTTAATTTGAAGCAAACACTTGTTTCAATTGACGTAATGAATGACTCAAAAACTGCTTGCTTCCTCCACCGGAGGATAATTCCACTTTAGTACAATCCTAAAAAAGGATTCCGCTGGAGTAGAATCATAACAGGACTTTCGCTGGAGAAGAATCCCCGCTGGAGAAGAATCCCAACTGGGATACCGCCGTAGGACAAAACCAATTGAGATTCCGTCAGATTGCATTGCTTATGTTTACATCTGTGCTGTTGCTAGCGCTACCCAACAAACAATTTTAGCTGCAGCTTAGCTTATACAGGCAAAAAATAGCTACATAAGGCAAACTTTGGCTGTATAAGTTAATCTGCAGCTAAAATTGTTTGTTGGGTAATGTACTAGAACTGTTCTAAAAAGTAGTCAGCATAATTTGAACAAAGCGTTAGCATCTACCAGCATGATTTTTCAGGAGCAACTCAATTTCGTGCTAGTTGCTTGAGCTGGTTGGGTTAGAGAACTAGCATAAGTGTAAACACTTCATATGAGATTTTTCAGTGGAGCGGGATATGGAACAATCCGCCACAGACTGACTGCTTAATACGAAACTTTTCTATAAGAGTTACAGAGTCGTTACAGAGGCGATTTTTGAAAAGCTTGCTAAGCAATTCACATAAAAATTAAGTGCTAATTATTACATGAAAGTTTTTAATCAGACAGAACCGAGCTCGTGCCGTACGGGTGGTAGTTTTGGAGATGCTGGTTCATGATTTGTGGTCAGGTTCAATAAGTCAGTTTTATATGAATATATGAATATATTTTTTTTTTTGTTTTTTTATTGCTTTATTAGAGAGATTTTCAGCCTTGGGCTGGTATATGAATATATGCCAAACGTCAAGTATTGTAACTCTCGCTCGCCGTACTACAAACGGCTGTTCAATTTTGCGAGTCGTATTTATCGAAATTACAATCGTTTTCTCTATAATCGACACGTGAGACGCACTGAAGCGAACCTTCGCACGAATCCGAAAAGTTTTTGGTCGTTTGTCAACTCCAAATGGAAGGAATCCGGGTTGCCTTGTTCCATGTTTGAAAGAGAAAAAGGCGACTTGTTTGCTTGTCATTTCCGGCAAGTGTTCCACGATTTCTCCGCTTCGCCGGCACAAGTGCTGGATGCTACTGTTGGGATGCCACGTGATGTGTTTAGTTTCGATACTCCACGCATTTCAGAAGTCATGGTGATAGCCGCAACACGCAAACTTAAGCTCTCGTTCACCGCCGGACCTGACGGCATTCCGTCATCAGTTCTAAAACGTTGTGTAGCCAATCTCTGCCTTCTACTTGCGAGGCTATTCAATCTTTCGGCACAGCAATGTGAGTTCCCCTGCCGCTGGAAACTGTCTTATCTGTTTCCAATCTACAAAAAAAGGAGATAAACGGAATGTCACAAATTATCGTGGAATCACCTCCCTGTGTGCCTGCTCAAAACTGTTCGAGATTATCATAAATGATGCTCTGTTCGCGTGTTGCAAAAATTATATCGATACAGAACAACACGGCTTTTACCCGTGGCAAGTCGATGCTGCGCATATGGATCTAAAGTGGACTCTACACGACTGTTTGTATTGACAATAATCATATTGTCAATGCATTTTATATTGACGTCAATACATCGGTATTGACAATATATCTGTATTCACATCATCATTATTATTGTCAATACTTTTAAGTATTGACAATATTTCTTACCGATTGGGGTTCGCTTAAAAGCTGCATTTGACACGGTAGACCATAATATCTTGCTGGCCAAGCTGGAGATACTTGACATCTCGTCAACGGCTGTGGATTGGTTCAGATCTTACTTGGTGAATCGCTATGTACGGGTTAAGATTGGCGCGTCGGAATCGGATGTTTTCTCGGGAGTTGCGCAAGGCAGTAACCTAGGACCGCTAATGTTTTCGATCTTTTTAAATGACGTTGCCTTTCTGATACCATCAGGATGCCGCGTTTTCTATGCAGATGATACAAAAATCTACAAAATTATTAAAAGTCTCTCGGACTGTTGGGATCTTTAGAATATGTTAGGTATTTTTGCTGACTTTTGGTCAAAAAATTTGATGAGTCTAAGCATCGAAAAATGTAACATTATTTCCTATCACCGTAAAATCGAACCAATCATGTTTGACTATTTTCTCTACGGACGCTGTCTTGCTCGTGTAGAGCACATAAAGGATCTCGCCGTTACCTTGGACTGCAGACTCACTTTTAGAATCCACTACAATGACATCATCTCCAGACCGAATCGACAATTCGGCTTTATTTTCAAAATAGCCGACGAATTCCGTGACCCGCTATGCCTCAGGTCACTTTACTGCTCGCTTATGGGATCCTTATTGGAGTCAAGATTAGTTGTTTGGTGCCCTTTCCATGCTAGCTGGATCACTAGAATTGAATCCGTTTAACGCAAGTTTGTGAGATATGCTCTTCGTTTCCTCAACTGGCGTGACCCAACGAACTTGCCTCCATACGAGGAGCGTTGCCGTCTCCTGGGAATCGAACCATTAGAGTTGAGACGGACTGTCGCTCAAGCTATGTTCGCTGGAAAACTTCTTACGGGAGACACTGACTGTCCAACACTGCTGGCTCAACTAAATAGGTATGCCCCTGAGAGGCCTCTTCGTCAACGTGACTTTCTGTTTTTGGAACCACGGCGCCGAAATTATACACAACACGAGACAATTCGAGCAATCAGCAGGCAATTCAACAACTTCTTTTATATGTTCAACTTCAATGTATCAGCTGACGTGTTTCGTCATCGGTTACTTGGCCTTTTCCGTACCGTTGACCGTAACTATTTAGTTAAAGTTTTATTCATTTAGACAATAAATGTCATTTGAATTTTTCAATATACAAATAAACAAATAAACAAATATGAAACAGCCTCATGAGAGTCTGAATTATTGAGAGGTAAACGAGTCACTTGGGGCCTCCCTTAGCTCAGTCGGTAAAGGCGCAGCTACAAAGCAAGACCATGCTGGAGGTGGCTGGGTTCGATTCCCGGTCTGGTCTAGGAATTTTTCGGGTTGGAAAATTTCTCGACTTCCCTGGGCATAGAAGTATGATTGGACTTGCCACACAATTATACTAATGCAAAAATGGTACAGGCATCGAAAGCTCTCAATTAATAACTGTGGAAGTGCATCTAGAACACTAATTTGAGAGCACACAATAAGCTAATATGCGATATGCAATAAGCTTGAAATGCGAAGAAGAAGAAAGACGAGTCACACAGCCGAGCACTCAGTCAGTACGTTTATTATTCCGTGATGGTACCCAATACTTGTTTTGAATGACTGAAGGTACATTTTCTATGGAAAAATGCCTCAATTGCATGCTGTGTGAGCGAAAGCAAGCGGTATGAATCGCCTGTTCGTGAGTGACTGGATGTTTTTGTTGACTCTTTCATTGCCTCGTCCTTTACCGTTTGGTACAAACGGGCTGCACAGAGCACTGGATTCAATAGTGCAGTGCTTTCACACTCAACCTAAGCAGTCAATAATTTTACGCTCTGTATACAATATATCAAGTGCCCAGGATCACGTTAGACACATCCGGAGATGTTCCGGGTACCTCAAAGAAAGTGGTCAGTTTTTGGCTCGGACCAAACCCACCTCAAATCACATGTTAATTCAAAAGGGTCAGATCTCACTATAGGGGGATAGAATCAGGATTTTATGAACGAAAATGAATCAAATTTAGTAAGGTTAACATTGGTTTAGAAGCTGATGCGTATGGTTTGAGCGTTTATTTTCAACTATCTGACCAATTCCACGTATCGCGTCATGCAGATTGTTGGCCCTTGATTACTATTTTCGTTTGAAACTCATAATATTCTTTATAATAGAGCATTATGTACACCAATTGAAAGTTAACAGTTTCAATCAACATAAATGTCACCCATTGTTGTGTGTGCAAATAATATCGCGCACACCCTTTACACCGTTTCTTTGCTCTACATCTCTGTCTCCCTGTCCGGGAGTGTGCAAGAGATATACCAACAACGGACACGCAAAACGTTTGCGAATAACAAAATCTGCCTGGTTTTCCAGTTTTGCTACTACCCATACGACCTGCAGCAGGTTAGTTGTTTTAAGGTGGGTGTCAAGAACACGCACCGACATGCAGGGTGGTTCTTGGGTAATAATTTTTATCTACTGCCACGAGAACGTTGCCGCAAACGAGAACCCCCACGTATACTCATGCTCATTGTTCGACACTAATGAGAGCTTTAAATTACACAAATGTGACGCGAGTCGCTGGCGTGCTTTTATGGCGTTTCGTGTTACACAGCTATTTTTCTCACCAGGACTGGCACGTCCGCTTTTACTATTTTCCGTCGGTGCCGCTATGAGCGACGAATGAGACAGAATGATGAAGACTGTTTTAATTAAAGGAAATTGGAGCACTTCCTTGCAGCACATAATGGGTGGAAAGGGAAAGCAGTTAAGCCTTTGAAGCGGAAACAACACTCGAAAACTGTTGCATTCCGTAATTGTTTGTGGGCACTGGAATAAGCATCATAAAGAAGCTAGTAAAGCATTGAAATCAATATACTACTCACACATGACGCTCAGTTTTGAAATCTAATGTTATTCCTCTTTCTCTCTATCGTCTTCCAGCTTGCGACTGCCACCCGATTGGATCGTCCGGGAAAAATTGCAACCACACTTCCGGTCAGTGCACTTGCAAGGAAGGCGTGACAGGACTAACCTGTAACCGATGCGCCCGAGGCTACCAGCAAAGCCGATCTCATATTGCACCGTGCATCAGTAAGTACAGTTACGCCATACCAACAACATCACCACCATATTCCATGATGCATCACTGAGAGTTCAATGACCTCATCATTCAAGCCGTCCGTCGTTGGAGGGTGCTGTAAAATGATTTCGCAAAATGCATGATACCAATCATAATTTTCCGCTCATCCCCTCTCTTTCTCTTTCACTTTCGTCCACAGAGATCCCCCGAGTGACGATGGTCAACCATCAGGCACAGAACACCGCGCCGGACTCCTATCAGTACGATCCAGACGCGAGTGAAAGTACCAAAGAAAGTGAGTAATTAATTGCCCTGTTTTTGCTACCATCTATCAAACCTTCCATCCATACGTCCTGCTGACTTTAGCGGTTCCGTCGGAGCTAAAAATCCCATAGATTACTACTGGAAATGCCAATCCCTCTCGTTCGTCACCTTGGGTTTCAGCTGTTTGCGGTTTTTCGTTGACGGAGGAGAAACGAATCACGTAGCGTTTGTCGTGATAACTCACGTTCTGTGCCATGGTGGGATTTTCACTTCATCCGGAAGGTTTGGGCTCGTCAGAACCATTAAGTCTCTCTTGAGATTCGTTTTTCGAATACAGACGCATACTTTCACGAGTGTGGGAGCGAAAAGAACAAAGTAGGTATGGTTGTCCATCAATCATTCTTCCGATCGGTGGGCGAAGTGTCAAGAAGTTTGACAAAAAAAAAGAGAAAAAAAAATGCTTTGTCAGGAATTGATGCTTTTAGCAATAATGGATTTTATTGTGACGAAGGTAGACATCGCTGTGCTGCGTGCCATCGTGAGTTATCGAATGAATTTTAGAGAATTTTTGATTGCGTTAATGTTATGTTGGAAGAATTATTGGTAGTAAATGTTTTTTTTTTATTCGTTCAAAAAGATAGCAAACAGAGTATTGTTAGTTACCAAGACATTGAATGGGGCTTTGACTAAATTTGTGATACTATAAGTAAACAAAATGAAGGGCTCTAGACACAAATGGAAAGTAACCGTTAAATAGGAACATATTTAGTTATGAACTTTGGTAGCGTAAAACGGGGTAACATTAATAGTTTTTTGAAATATTTTCTAAATAATTTTTACAGCAATGAATGTTTTTCAATTTTTTTTATTTAAAAAAAATCACTGAAGATCCAAGAGTCAATTCGTTAGTAAAATGTAAATGGAAATTATAGCATTTGCACTATTTTTTTAGTTTTGTGACCGAACTTCAGTTTTTTGATTTGGAGTTACTTTGATAATTCTCGATGAATGTAGAAAAAAATGGGTGAAACTCAAACAATTTAGTTCTATTAAATATGAAATACAATCAGAAAAAATCATAAGCAATAAGAACACAACATTGAATGTGTGATGGCAATATTTCAAAAATACATTTCATAAGTGATGGTTTGAGTGCTTTTAAAAATAGGCGAAAAACACGAAAATTGTTTTTAAATATTTTTGTAAAATATGTAGCACATATTACATAAAAACTACATACGATATCAACGGAAATATCCTAAGCTACAATATGTAACAAATATTTCTAATTTGGACGAAGCGCAGCGAGTAAATTTAATCTTTACATTATACTATCAAAGTTACCCACATTATCAAAGATACCCCGTTTTACGGTACTGCATTTCTGATGTGTCAGGTTATATATTTAAAATATATGGGGATCATCATGTCTATGATTTTGGATAAATTGATACAATTAAGCACTGTCCGTATTTTTTGACGGATATTTAATAATTAAAGAGAATCTTATGTAACATTGAAACTCGTCGTGGGGCGGACATAACATGTTCACAAGGCGGATTTAACCAAATCTTGAATCCATCTACTGTCAATGACAACCCGTTGCAGTATTAACTCTTTGGTCATTTTAAACGGATTTCTGATGTTTTTATCGTGTTGGAAACTATATTCGTCTCCCTTTGTTATGATTTATTGGTCATGTCCAGTGTTCGGAAAAAACATTCTCAAACCTCATTCAATGAGCCCTCATGCATGAGATTCTCATGCATTTTCATGCACTCAATTTTCAAAAAATCATTCCAGTGAAACTTATAAAACCTTTCAAATGTCAATTGATAGCGCTATGCATGATTCGCTAGTTTTCCACGAGGTTTTCCATCCACTGATACAATGGATAACGGCACACATGAACCCGTAATATCATAGCAAATTAAACGAGGCAAAACTCAGAGGCGAATAATCCCAATCGTGAGATTAGTGTTTTTTTTTTTATTTTCCGAACACTGATCATGTAACATAGTAACGGGTACGATTGATATTTCAATATTTTTTTTATTATTACGCCAAATCTTAAGATGGGGAGTCGAGTTTCGAGTGCCTTTGGATACGGTTGTGTTTTAAGTTTGTTCTCTGTTTTGTGCGTGCATTCGCTTTCATAGCTTTCGGCTGCATTTGCCGGATTAGCGCTGGCACTCTGCCTACCGGACGGTTATACGTGTGTGAGTGGTGGTTTTCTCGCTTTCCGAGAAAGAAAACATGATTTATCATGTTTGCAAAATTGCAAGCATCAGAAGATTTGGCGCTATCTGCGTGGTTTGATTTTTCTCCCGAACCAGAAATTTGTGGCATCGCGAGTGAAAATTTTAATTTCAGATTATTACGCGGTGATGAGAACGGCGCTGATCTATTGTTAGGGTTTTGCAATGTGCATTGCTTTTGTGCACGGAGTGACTTGAAAAAGAAAAGTGATATTTGGTTGTTGTGTGGTTGGAGTCGCTGGAGGAGGAATAGATTAGGGATAACTAGAGAAAAATATGCGTGAAAGCATCGGGAATGCGCTCCCGGGTGAAGTGATTTGGTGAGTACGTTCCAGTTGAAGATTGTTGACAAGTGTATTTGTGGTGATGCAAATTATGGTTTAGATGACGCATGGCTTCAAACATTTTGTGTATCCAAATAAAACATATTACATACTACACACGCACAGGGCATCGTCTGCTGACCACGGGTATATCGCGGAAGTCCCAGGTACCCGGTTCAAGCTTTAGTTGGCGGCGGTGGCTCTTTTTGATCTTCTACCCCCTGAGTAGTTAGTGTGAATAAGGGCGTCTATGTGATGTTTTGATGTACCTGTTGTGGATATCTAGTGCATCCTGTTCCCTTAACTTGTTGAGGACACCCTGTCTTGCCTCAAAAGCTACCCTTTCTGAAGTACTAGTCTTCACAACATAAAGGGCACCATTACGGAGCATGAGATTTGATCAAATTATTCGCAGTTCTACTTGTCCAACGCCCCCGGCTGGGTGAGGGATAGAGGATGACACACACACACATTACGCCGAATCTTAAAATGTATAGGTCAACATTAGAGCCACTTACTCTGCATAGGACCAATCGATTATTAATCAGGTCCTGATCATTTCCTCATAATTATGAACTAATTTGGAAGCGATTTCATACTGCACTGGCCCTTTGAAGTTTATAACGGAATTGATATGGGCAACATGAACTTTTTATATCGGCCTGGCTTTTCGCCACGGGTAAGCTTGCTATCTGTACTTGTAGGGAATATTATCAGCTACAAGTTTGATGCAGACCACATTTTAATTTAACTTCAGTTAAATTTCATACGTACTTTTATGTAGGAACATCAAGAAAAAATATAAATATAAATAAAATATAAAAAAGTAATTCTTCTTGCATCCTATTAACAATGGAAATGTTTCCTTTTACATAGCTGGAAATGTTTTTTTTTGTTTTTAATAGAAATATTTTAGAACGAACATATTTCCATTCATACCATAATATTTCAGTCATTCCATAGCAAAACCGATATAGTGGTTCTCGGAAATTCTAGTCTAGGATCAGAAATTGAAATAAGTAAGTAATGTTGGTTACATTCGATATGTATCCATGGAGACGCATGGTAACCTAGTCGTATTATAGTAATGAGCGAAATTATGCTATGAGATAACTATGAAAAAAGTGGTTACCACTCAGGTTTATGTTGTGTGGCAAATATGTTTGCTACCTGTAGAAGACGGTGCTGCTCATTGTGCGATAGAGCGCAAATATTTGCAACAAAGTATTTTTTTAAGACTTAAAGAGGTGGGTGCATCGTTATTTTACGCAAATTTATATTATAAATGGGCAGGTTGAGGTGCGACTACTTAGCTTAAATTTTAGAAACTTCCCTTCAAAATTAATGTATGGACCCAATATTAGGAACACTTAGGCCAACAATAGAGACATTAACCAAATATTATAAATTAACAATATTGTTTACTTCCATAATTCCCATATGTTTCTGAAAAGACGCATAGGTAATACCATAGAGGTAACTCTAAGACCAGAAGGTCCCGAAGAAACGTGCTCGACTTTTTGGCTCAACTCTGGTACCCTCTCCGGTCCCAACCTTATCGATGTACCTCTCGAAACATAGGAAAATCCACGAATTCCTCTTTTTATCTGACAGACTTTCATAGCGAATCAAAACAAACATAGTGTAGTACTAGAAGTTCGACAAAAATGGGGTACGCTAATCGATTTGCTTGGAACCAATAGGATAGTCAAGTAGTGAGCCAATTTAAAATCGTTAGTTTTCACCGGTTTGTAATACCCTCTCCCGGTGAGAAAGGTGACTAAAAACATTCGTGGCCTTATTATTTAAGCGTGTAATCAATTCATATGATTAGTCATATAAAAGGTGTGGCAAACAGTATTAGCTTTCTCATGCATGTTACACGTCTATCCTGATGTCATGACATTGTACTACGTTCAGACTATAGTTAGTTTTAATAACGTAATAACGTAATATAATGTGATATCAAAAGAATCTAAATAACGTGATATCTGAAATAGTTTGAATGTACTATTAGCTTAGAGGTGAACCAAACAAATAGAAGAAAATGCAGATTATATCTGCCATCCCTCTTTACATATCACATTGGCAATTGACAGGAAGAAAACTTTCAACACACTAAGAATCGTTAACCTAAATTTGGGTAATAGATTAACAAACACGGTAAGAAAAAACACTCAATAGTAAGTTAAAAAAAAACTCAAAAACTTAAAAAATAAAATAAAAAAGAATTCGATTGTCAGTTAAAAGTCCTCAGCCGTCATATTTTCACAGTTGATAACTTTTAACTTATTTTTGGATGACAATCATAGAAACCTGCGCTGCCTTTGATGCTGACATTTTTGTATGCTGCCTTCGTTCGTGCTCCATTATTGCATTCGATTGATCGTAATGTAATTTTCACTCAATCGATTATTTATCAGGATTACTCAAAATTTAGTTTTCATCAT